CCCCCATCTGCTAGAGACAGCTCAGTTTTTTGCCTAGTCTCAAGGAGTAAGGACCTAAGCTCCATGCTGGGAATCCTAGTTCTCATTTTGTGCAGAAACATTTCTTTATCCTTTTTAGTCTGTCTTCTGGACCTTCAACCTACAGCTGAGCTGGACGACAGGCTGGGTAATATAGATCCTTGTAGTCTACCCAACTAATCCATCGAGTGCATGCAGATCTTTAGCTATGCGCAGGGTAAGCTGCAACAGCCCTCACAAGGGTAGCCTGGGAGTGCTCCTCAAGGAGGGGGGAGGGGGAGAAACACATATGACCGACTGACTTGTTGCTCTGTCACAGTGTCCCCCCCAGGCGGACAGTGCCCTGGCTTCGGGAGGAGGCAGCATGTCCTGTGAAACAGTACCCTTCATGAATCTGGTAAGGGTAAGCTGCAACAGCCCTCACAAGGGTAGCCTGGGAGTGCTCCTCAAGGAGGGGGGAGGGGGAGAAACACATATGACCGACTGACTTGTTGCTCTGTCACAGTGTCCCCCCCAGGCGGACAGTGCCCTGGCTTCGGGAGGAGGCAGCATGTCCTGTGAAACAGTACCCTTCATGAATCTGGTGACTAGTAAGTACATAAAGTGGAACTTCCTTCTCTCCCCTTGAAACACATATGACCGACTGACTTGTTGCTCTGTCACAGTGTCCCCCCCAGGCGGACAGTGCCCTGGCTTCGGGAGGAGGCAGCATGTCCTGTGAAACAGTACCCTTCATGAATCTGGTGACTAGTAAGTACATACAGTGGAACTTCCTTCTCTCCCCTTGCCTGTGTTGGGGCTGGAGTGGTCAGGCGTACCCTTCTTTTACATCTTCCCTAGGGCTGTGTGTGATGGTTGTTACCTGGGCACTCCCTATTACATTAGTGGCTGCTATGGGGTTATCGGTCTCAGGGGTATTGTTCTCTGTGGGCGTTGTGTTGTGTGGTATCCCACTCTTTGTCGGAGTTCTGTCCTGTTGTGTTTAGTTCAACTGACATTTTGTGAGTTCTAGCAGCCGCACCTTCAAAAGGCTACTATGGACCCCGGCGGCCACAGATACATGTTGCTGCTATGGCACCCAGATGGCGATGCTCTTGTGGCCCTTTCAGGATTCCTGGCAGCCACGGCCTGTGGTGTCTTCTCTAAGAGTCCCAGAGACCACAGCTTCACATGGTTGCTCTCATGGTCCCGGCAGCGCGAGAGTCCCAATAGCCACAGCCCATTATGGCAGTTCTGGAAATATTGGCGGCCGCAGATACATGTTGCTGCTGTTGCACCCCGACAGGTCTTTTTCTCTCCAAGCAGCCACTGCTTGCGTGGTTGCTTTGGAAGCCCGGGTGACCTGAACGCCTATGGCCTTCTCGGAGCCCTGGCGGCAATCTTTGTTTTGGGCCGATGCCAGGGAACGACATCTTCACATGGCTCCCAATGTGTGATACCTAGCCTGGGGGAACGAAGTGACTGTTGCTTGTGCAAGGATGGCTGCCATGCACAGGAGCATGGGACTCTGGCAAGTTTATTAGTTTTATTAAGTTCACTACATATGCACAGCAGTTGGATGCATTTCTTTTTAATTGTAGGTATTATTTGTTTTGAGTGAATGGCCTTCTTAACTGACTTGAGGGAGTGAAGCTGAGTTAACTTTGTGGTGCTTTTGGAAGTGCTCACTTCTACAGTGTGCAACAGTATGGATGACTAATGTTGCCGGGACACGATTACTGCACAGTTGAGTTATGCAAATTTTGCAGTACATGTGCAATTTGTTGCAGAAGTCCTCTGAAAAGGCTCATGACCGATATAAACTTGGCACATAGTTTGCATGACCTTTTGTGACTAAAGAATGATTGTTGCAAACCTGTATTTTTTGGTGCACTTACTTGCCTTCCTGGGCTTCCAAAGTATTCCCATGTGGGATATCCAGATGATGTGGGTGAGGGTATGGTCAGCATGCTGTTTAGCTGGGAGGTAATGTGGTTGGTTCAGACCTGCCTAGGTTTTTGGTTAGGAACTGCATCTTCAGAGTCAGCACTGATGTCAACGCATCACCTGGTGTTTTAGGTCTTGTCCTAGCTATGGTTCTGGCCAGGAACTTTCCTCTTTCTGTGTCTTCTGAACCTAAGTCTTCTACGCGGATTCTGTGATTCCGGGGTTGGTCAACTTTGCGTTTTCACATGAGGGTTCTGGG